TAATACTAACCTTAACCTTCTCCCACCACTAATTCTCAATAACCGCCTTCACTAATTGCCGCTACACTAATCTAATTAGCTCTTGGCCGAAGTCCCGCCTGTCCAGTAAAATAGATTGAACTTCCAGCGTCCAGCCATTCTAGCCCTAGCATTTAACACCATCCGGGCACAGAAAATACTATGTCCCGAAGAGCCTAACCAGTGGAACGTGAGACAATCTAGCAGATCTATATCAGTCCTTCTTACTAACATTCTATCCAGGTAGCTGGCTACCTGGGTAGACAATCACCTATGTGTTCACGTTCACGTCTTCCGCCCAGGGTGATCGACCCGGTATCTATCGACGAGATCAAACACGCCGATCAGATGAACCAAACTAAGATCGACCGACCTCCCGCTAGCTTTTCGCCTCCTGTCTATGAAGAGGTCCAGGATAGGGTCCCAGTCTCCAATTAACATTAAGCGCCACGAACCTACCAGGAACGGCTCTAACTGACGGAAAAAAGAGACACGCTACGTCTGGTCGTTAGACGCATAAATCGCAACGATCTGAAATCAAGTACTGTTCATGGTAATATCGGCTACGATTAACCGGCCATTCGTATCGACATGGACAAGGTCCACCATCACACCCAGCATACACTTAACCAGCAAGGAAACACCTCTGGCCAGCCGGTTCCCATATTCGGAATAGACAGCACAGCTGGGTCTCCTTGATCGCAGCGACATCTACCCCGAAGGACAAGAGATGACGAAACAGGCAGGCAACCTTACTCTGATCCCTCCAGCCCCTCGCATTCAAGCTATCTTGAGAGACATTTTTCAAGTTGAATCCCCTAGTCAAAGACTAGGCGGAAATCTGCGTGGGCAAGGACCCCGACTTATTGTTCTTGGTTCCCTGTGTCCATACCTGACGTCATCCGTCAGTCTAGGACAGTGCTGTTGACGTCCGTCAGATAGGTTAACTTAAGAACTATATGATATAATGGAATGTGCATACACCTGTGTTCCCTGTCACTGGAATATAATTGGCTGGTATCCGTCATAAATACCGACGGACGTGTAGGTGAGTTAAGAGCCTTAGTCTGAGAGCTAAGTCTATAACGACACCCATTGGACTACGCCATTGATCTACACTTCTTACCTGTGACTACGACGCGTACCAGTCAATTACTACTACCGTATTCTTCTTGGTTATTGTAGCTAAAACCACTTAGCCACTTCGTTCAAATATATCCCTTTCCACGACATATCACCCTATATAAAGGGAGATGGATAATTACCGGGACCGTCCCTGCACAAAATTTGAATATTTTTTTTAGTACTAGGGGCCTTACTAGAATTTTCCACCGCTTCTGCTGTTGTTAGGTGAGGTTGTGGCGCTGTGTTCTTACTGTGGCACGCTTTCGACATGTGCATTGAGGCACCACACGACCAGCAGTAGGGTCGACGGCCTTCTACACCCACAGCGATCCTTTTATTATTGTGTTGTTTTTTTAAGGAAAGCTGTTACGGGTCATTGTTACCTTGTTCACAAAGTCCCTGGTAGTAACGCCCTCTTTGCTTATTAATGCTGAGACGTCCTCTACTTGTCTGTATCGGGCGAAAAACGCCGCTACCAGGTACTCAGTAATATCCACGGGCATCCTATGTACGATCACCTTTGCCTTTCGGATGCCCATATATTCGGTCTGGAAACGAACTTTTTTTGTGGTTAACATACTTCTGGCCAGCCGCCTGGCTTCTTGCTCTGTAGACATCTTCGGTTCAATTTTCAGGCTCTTTAGCGCCTCCCCCATTGTTTCCTGTTGACCCCTATTAATTTCAGAGTTTTTATATCGGTGGTCAGCAGGGAGACTGTTTTCATATTAACGGTGTCCATTGCTTCAAGAATACTGAGAAAATAATTTCCTCTTATATAATCCTCATATTTTGTCAGAAGTTGCGCGAAGGAATTAACACTTTTGGTGTCTGTTTTCAGTCCAGGCCGATTTTTAAGAGGTTCTATTTGTTCCATCTGGGAAAATTCCGTCCATTTTGTTGGGGAAATTCATTCCATTTTGCGGGCGTTCGGTGAGTTCTGCTGGAACGTCTTGATAAGTCAGCATTCTGGGTTTCTAGTCCCGAAGAATCGCTGTGACTGGCTTTCTCCTATCGTCCCGTATTGAAAAAAAAAACACGTCTCCTGCGTGCGAGATGCGGTGATTCTGATTCTGAATCAGTTATGGCATGGGCTCGCTTCTGAGATATCGAGCGATCATCCACTACCCCATGGATACTTAATTTGATTAATTTTTAAACAAAATCCCTCAAGTATTTGAAATCGCCCGGTCGAATTCCTATATGTTTAAAGCATATCAACATCAATGTTTATTATAGGAGATAAAGAAATTGAACACAGAATAGGCTGCACTAAGAGTAGTTTCCCTCGACTCTAAAAGATATTGCGATATCAAAAAATTACCCTAAGGACTTTAATAATTGTCTTTACAATATTTATATTCTTTGGCGGGTGATATACGCTGGAAATTCGAAACGAACCCTTTATTTCGATCACCGG